ATCGAATAGAAATGTTTCATGAAAGGGAGAAAAAGTTTCAATCAAATAGCCTCATAGACAGACGTGCACTGATGGCTAAAGGAAGTCCAGAGAGAACAAAGATAAAACATCAACCTACTTTAGACCAAGTGAGACCATGTCTGTAAAGATGAACTATATTGTAATAGTGAAGACTTTTCTCTCTAATGAAACTTGTTTTATGATATTCATCTTTGGGACCAACACTTTTTGCATTCACATTCGCATCTTTGCATTCTGTATGGCGTTTATTTAGGCATTTTGAAATGCATTAATCATTGATAGATAGATTTATTTCGTGGAGGACTCTAAGGTGGTTTTTCTAACTACGTAACTTCATTCACACAGTACTAAGAATTGAAACAAAATTTGAGAAACTAAAGAAAGAACTAGAAGAGAATTTGCAAATGATACAAATAGATTAGGAAGCTATAATGGAGCAAGCGCAAAAGGCCACTGTGAATCGCATATTATAAAACCAAGACAACATGATTGACCAAATTGTAGCAAAATTGAATGGGCTCAACGAAGAAAGAAGATATCCTTGATGCTAATCCACAACTACTCCTTTCACCCGAGCGGCTTCCAAGCCACCAAGTAGGCTTCTCCGCCACTAAGACTCAAGCAACTATGTTAGATCCTCAGGATACCCTTCTGATCACAATATGTCTGATCTTGATGAGATGAAAAAAATCCAAGAATGAGATCCTTGAGAACTTAAAAAATTGGTGCAGAGAGACATTCAAAGGAACGAGAGGACAAAGCTCTCATAATGAAATTGATGCAAAAGAACTAGTATTGGTTCCTGATTTGGTGTTCCAGCTCAAATTCAAAATGCATGATTTTGAAAAGTACAATGAAACCAGTTGTCCTACTGTCCATCTCACGATATTTATTCGAAAGATGACTGGATACACCAACAATGGTCAAATTTTGATACACTGCTTTCAAGACAGTTTGACTGGACCCACTTCTAAGTGGTTTAATCAACTGATTCATATTCAAATCCAATCCTGGAAGGATTTGGCTCATGCATTTTTTAGTAAATACAAGAACATGACTGATAGGGCCCCTGATTGAACAACGCTGCAAAATATGAAGACAAAGCGTAATGAAAGCTTCCAACAATATGCACAACGATTGAGGGATGTTGCATCTCAAGTGTATCCACCAATGATTGAAAGGGAGTTTATCACTTTATTCATCGATACATTAAAATCTCTATATATTAACCACATGTTATGGGCTTCCACTAAGAGTTTCTCTAACGTCGTCATGTGTGGAGAAATGATTGAAAGAGCTGTCAAGAATGATAAGATAAGAGGCACTTGCAGTACTGACATTGAGAAAAGAGCTGAGATTAACAAAGTGGGATCTTATCTAGCTAATCAAGGGACCAAACCTCATAAGGTGTTTTGTGAAAAGACTCCCATCAATCCAATTCCAATGATATATGAGGAATTGCTTCCAACACTAGTTGAGAAGAACCTTGTGACTCCAGTTCAATCTAAACCAAAAGACGCCCCATATCCTGAATGTAATGATGTTAACGCCATATGTAGCTACTAAATAGGAAGCTCAGGGTACACCATTGAGAATTGTGGGGAATTGAAGCGCAAAGTCTAAAATCTGATTGATTCAGGGACATGGACATTCGATGTGTAATAGGGCATTCTGATCAGGAGTGGGCTACGACATCCTGATAACTTCGTAAAAAGACTATGTTTTATGTCTTTTTACTGAAGTTATTGTGTGTCTAAAAGCTATTTTCATAGCATATAATTGCATTTAGTTGCATTTAGGTCATATTTTCATATGGTGGATTAGTTTTTCCTCGACAATTTATTTGGCTTAACTGATACTGCTGAGGAGGAAGGTTCTTTGTTAGCTGTATTGATGCAGGAAATAACAAATGAAGAATTTATTTGCTAAGACAACAACTATTTCCCAGGGCAAGAGGAACAATAGAATACAAAAGTGAGGAACAAATTAATCTTGCTGAGGCAAGATTTATCTTGCATATATGACGTGGCTTAACAATTGCTGACATCATTTGCCCAGCTTCACCCTCACGTGCAATCATGCCCTTCAAGAAATTGACCGCCTCCAACCGCATTTATATTAATAACATGGGTAAGTCACGAGGGTATTTTAGGGAATTTCCAAGGACACAAAAACCTAGGAATTCCCATTATAAATATTCCAGTATAACCACCCAGTAAAAAGGGAAGCAAGGATAGGATTTACCTTAGGCATGGAGTAAGCAACTACAGTACCTTACCTTCCATCATCCCCCACTCGACCGTCCTTGGTGCCCTCCATAGTCGGACTTCATTAAAGCAGTGGCTAGGTCCTCGAGAGAGACCAGCTGCATGAGCAGGCGTGGTGGTGTTCAGAATGTCACGACAGAGCTGTGTTTGGGAGTGTTTATTCATTTATTCTTAATTTTTGATTCTTGTAAAAGGTCTTGTACATAAAGTTTAAATTCTTGGATGATATTTGCCACACCATGAACTGTTTTACTTGGTGTTGGTTATGGTTTTGATGAAACGTTATTTTATATTTTTGAATTAAGAAGTTTGTTTATGCTTAATATTATTTTGTTCATCGTTTAAATATTTTTCCTTAACACTGTAAGAGGTTCAAGAGATTGCCTGGTGCCTAGACAAAACATTCCTAGATTTTGTAAGAGCTTTCGAGATATTGCCATTCTTCTAGGAATAGATACCTAAATTCGAGAGAATTAGGGAAGTTCTACGTGAATAATGGGACTAATTCGGGATGGCGAAGTTTTAATCAACCTTAGAGATAAGGAGATGGTTTCATTCGACTAAAAGGGGTAGTTACTTGAGTAGGATAGGCAATGAATGTAGTTCACGCTGAGAGGTGTTGCCGCAACAAAAGTCTGACAAACCAAGGGTTGTAGTTCACGCCTGGTAGTATTGCTGTAGCAACCGTTCTTGAATACTCTAGTAATTATGTCGGGCATTTTAAGTATAGCTCACCAAATCATTCTATGCATAAGTTAATTCTTCATCTTAGCAAAACCAACCTGGGCGCTCCGTAAAAAAGTCAGCTTGTGTGAGGTTTCTCTGAATTTATTAAACTTAACGCTTTTATTCGCTTTAATATTTTGATTAGTTTACTTGTGCAATTTTCCTTGCCTCGAATACATTTTTTTGCATCACATACTTTACAATAGTTCTTGCTTAGACAATACTCTTCCATTAGTTTACTTCCCCTAGTATCTCTTATTTTTGTTTAGACAAGAAATTTAGGACTAGTTGGTGATACCTATTTCTAGCTACAACAAAACATCAATAATTCTCACCAATCCCTGTGGAGACGATACTCAACTCACTACTATATTACTTGCATCGATTGCGTATACTTGCACAGATTTGCTTGCCTTAGCATATACATTTACATGCAATCAAGTTCAGGATTGATATTGGTTTAATTCTAGCTGGATGAATGGATTGGTGGTTTGTTTCAAGAATTTAGGAGTGTCTTTGGGCATTCAAGCAGCCTATTCGACAACAATTAACTAAGCATTTCTTGGTTTGTGTTTACTGCACAGCAGCACCACTACTACATCCATGTATATCAGCTAGGAATGCATGCAAAGTAATCTCCGGCTTGTACACATGACATGAGAGACAATTAAGGTATAATTTCTTGTTGGTGGGATTAATTAGTGCCAACTTCCACTGTATATCAAAAGCAAATTAAGAGTGGCTTATGATTGTGTGTGAATCAAAGTCTCATTGGGTGAAAAAGAATGAGACAGTCACAAGTTAAAGTCAAATCTTTTCTATGTATGATTGCTTAACCAAAATCAAACCTAATAATCAGGGATTCATCCATCCAGGACTAATGGACGCTTTGCTGCATTAAGAATTGTTTTGCTTTAAGGTTGTGCTTAATTAAATAATTAGTATTTAACAGCCTAATTTCGACATGTAATGAGCAAACTTACTCAATACTCCCAATTTTTATTTTATAAACTTTATAGTGTAGTACCTCTCTTGCTTAATCATGCAAATTGTTGATGAAAATAAGTGAGTTGTGATTATTATAGATGGTTTACCCTTATAATTTGAATGGAGAGTTTAATTGTTGATAGATCGGTTGTTGGTTAGTGTCAAATTATTTTATCTCCACAAGAAGATAAAAAGGAGATGAATGAAGATGATTTGGTTCCATTATTTCTCTCGATATCAATCAAGATATTTTATAATGACTTCTAAAGTTTGTGCTAAGCGTAAAGTAATTATAATTACTTATAAATTTACATGTTAACGATAAATTTAATTTTGAAAGGTGATGAACTCATCAAAAGCCATTTTAAGTTGTTTTGGCTCTTTAAAAAATTTAAATATGTGAGTGCCAAGATAACACGTGAAAAAACGAAATAAAACACAAATGAAGCATAATTATAAATAAGTAATATTGTAATCCAGGATTAATTTTAATTATAGCCATTTCTTGTGCAGTACATATTGCATATATTGATGTTTGAAAAGCGAGGAAGAGAAGATGCAGATGAAAGAAAAACAAGCCCAGAGGCCCAATCCAAATTGAGACCTAAAAGACAGTAGAGTACGATCAAGGTCACAGAATCTGAGGAAACGGCCGAGTCACCGTATCAGAGCGCTTTGGGTTGAGTTAAGAGTTGAGACTAAAGACTGGAGGGGATTTTAACTTTAAGCGGTGTGGTGTGTCTTCAAGTGTCGCGCTCTGACGCTGCTCGTGCATGCACTCTCTCTCTCTCGCAAAACATAAACAAAGCACGTTCTCTTGGATTTCTTTTTTCAATTCTAAATTAATGTGTAGTTGTTGTAGTAGTTACTATAACAATAACAACGCATAATTACATCTACCACCGCCGTTACTCTTCTCTTCTCTTCTCTTTGTTTTGTTCACTCCACTTCTTCTTGCCGGTTGACTGCCTTCTTCTTCTTCTTCTTCTTCTTCTTCTTCTTCTTCTTCTTCTTCATTCCAAGTGAAGTGGGTTGCTTCTGCGAATGACTGATTTGTTGTGAGTTGAACGAGGTCAGTCGCTTTTTATCGATAGTGTTGTTTGGAAATTTCGATTAGATGTTGTGCATGGGGATGTTCTATTTGATGAAATTATAATTAGACTCATGGATGACATTTGATTTTGATTTGAACAGCTTATTGTTGAATGGAGTCCAAGATTTGCATGAATTCCTATTGTGGAGCTGCTATCACCCATGAATGGAAGAAGGGTTGGCCTCTGCGATCTGGTGGCTTTGCTCATCTCTGCTACCCTTGCGGGTACTCCAATCCTCTTTCATATTTTTATCAATTCCACATTTGGGTTCTGGGTTTCAAATTCAACGCTTTCCTTGCAACTACTACTACATGGATTTGTTTTATCACCCTTATTGCTTTACGTTTTTCATTATTATGTAAAATTGGGATTTCGTATTCTCCAGCTCACAATAATTCTATTTAGACTTTATTCCTTCTTTCGGAAATTTATCGAAGCAGTATTAACTTTATAGATCCAATAAGTACCTAAGAAATTTAGCGCTTAATATGGTGTTCAGGAACATGTTTGTCATTTAATTATTCAAAATTGCATTTCATTAGCGATCTTCTAAATTTCGAGTCATTACTGCTAGAAGTTGTAGAATACGCAACATCAATTTAACTAATTTAATTGCTGATCTGCCAAAATAGATCCGGAGTTGCATGGAAATGCCGTCCTCTCAGAGGGTATGCATTTGGTGCACGATATTCTACCTCCACCTGAAAATGTTATATATATATATTTAAATTTTAAGGTGGTAGTGTTTTTTATTCATGTATTTTCTGTATCACTCTTTTGATTTTCAATGCTTCCTCTTATTTTTTTTTTGGCCTGCTGATTTCTGTGGTTAAGCTCTGCCTACGAGGATGGCGTCTATTGTAACACGTTCCACTTGGAGGAATCTGGCTGGAGGGAGTGCCGTCTATGCGGCAATGTAAGCTGATAATCTTGCTAATCCTATTAAAGTTCAATCAACGATCAATTATTTATCATTTTAAGTAATTGAATGTGATATGGCAGCATCTTCACTGTGGTTGCATAGCCTCCAAATATCTTCTTGATTTCCTAGATTATGGTGGTGTTGGATGTATCAGCTGTCCAAAGAGCTCCCAACTTCATCCAGTTAAAAGAATTCAGGTACTTTTTTCTGTCACTTCTCACCTGATTCCTTTTTTGGTGTTTAACATGATCTTTCGTTTTAATCCACATACATGCTAACCCTGGTTTGAGATCATGGGAAAAAGCTGATGCTTCTTTACACCAGTGTAGTTCTTTGCTAGGCCTTACCGTCACCACCACCATACACACACACCCCTTTCTTTTGCCACATGAATTTCCATGGAAAGTAGGATGTAGGAGCCAATATTTTAACAATTGAAATGGCACATTAAGGTCTTTACACCATTTGATTGGTTGTGTTCTTGTTGCTTCCTACTGTAATTTACCCTTCTGTGATGTAGACACATGGTGATGAAATTTCTGAAGGATTTGGAGCAGTGCCAATGAGTAATATCAGATCCAGTGCTACTGAAGGTAAAGCAGTTAGTGATCATGTTGACGAGATAAAACTTGCACAATTGTGCAAACCCATGGAGGCTAATGAGTGCAACCTCTTGCCTCAATCTCAGAGAGTTGATGCAAATGCATCTCATGGGCAAAACAGAGGAGAGGAAGTCATATGCACCATTGAGAAAGTAGGTGTGGGTTGTTCAAATGCTATGCAACCAAATGCTCAACCGGCTAACTTTGCAAAAATAGACAATGCCAAACCAGCTTTGGACATTAGAGATATTCACGATTCACTTCCACAACCTTATTTGAGTATGTCCTTGGGAGGACCTTCTGGGAATCCCAGTCTCTTACTACCTTTCTCCAGTGGGATACCTAATGGAAAAGAACCAAGCAAAACATGGTCCACTTTTCAACAAGGGCAGCAATCTCGTCGAATACTACCCAAACCCTCAAAAAATGGTCCAACAACAAGTTCAGAACGGAATAAGGGCATGGTTCCTCAGGCACGTATCACAAGGCCACCGGTTGAGGGGCGTGGGAAAAATCATTTGCTTCCTCGGTATTGGCCCAGGATTACTGACCAAGAGCTACAGAAACTATCTGGAGAGTATCCATGACTGTCAGCTTACGTTTCCAAATTTTCTTTTCCTAGAATGATTTATATATTTAGTTTTTGTTTACTGTGTTGATTCAAAATTTCTGTTCACCTTAAGTTGTGAATTTAAAGTTTGAAATCTGCCATTGTGCCACTATTTGAGAAGGTTCTCAGTGCCAGCGATGCTGGTCGAATTGGTCGATTAGTGCTGCCAAAAGCATGCGCTGAAGTAAGTTTTTCAATATATTAACTTCCATGCCTTTTCCTTGTCCCACACCTCACCCTCCGCTACAAAGTTCCCCTATCTACCCCTTCTCCAATCTTTTCCTGGTATTGCATTTGTATGAACTAGAAATGAATGCAGGCATATTTTCCTCCAATTTCACAATCAGAAGGCCTTCCTCTAAGGATTCAAGATGTAAATGGGAAAGAATGGACATTTCAATTCAGATTTTGGCCAAATAACAATAGTAGGATGTATGTCTTGGAGGGTGTAACGCCATGTATACAGTCCATGGAACTCCGAGCAGGCGATACTGGTATACTCTGTTCCTCCACTGCTAAGATCATGACAAAGCGTATAACCTTTCTTGATATCTATGATATTATATCTTATTTGATTTTGAATTGATAGTTTTATTGTGATGAAAAAGGAATTCCCTTTAATGGTGCTCTGTCCGGAAACCCTCAGTGTTTTTCTGGTGGTAATAAATCTGTGAGTAATGAAACAACTTTTCCAAGTTTAAAAACTTAGGAAGCCATGGATCATTGTTTGATGGAAAGTGCCTCTATAGAAAAGATATGAGAACAAAATGAGGGATGGTTCAAACGTTAAGAGTGATCACTTCATGCACTTCTATTTCGTGCATTTGTCCAAAAATGTTGAAAGATAAAATTTTCTTTAAGGATCTCACTTGAGGAGGATATATCTAGGAATTTTCCCTTTTTGATTCTTAAAGGGATAAGACCCCTCCATTTCCCCAATCTCTCTTTATGGTCCTGTGAGTCTGTATTCTCATGTAGGTGTCTGAATATGTTGTTTTTATGCTGTGTCAGGGGTTAGTTTCATCAATTTCAACTTTTGTCTTTTTCAGTACTTTATCTTTCTCATGATACATCATAGCTATGAAACTTATAACATTACTCTCCATCTATTTTCATATTTTAATTGTTATTCATGATGAGAAATGGAACAAAATGCTAAAGTTTTCCAGCAAGGTTGTTTGAAATTCTTCTGTCAGAATTTAGAAGCGCAGATAGTACTTGTTTTCATTTTCTTTCCCTGCTTTTCAATTTTTGTGTGCTTCATGGCTTTGGGTGGTTTGTGCCACTTAATTTGTCCGCTTCCTTGTGTAAAACTTGATTAATTTTTGAGATATTTTGTGCGTTAACAGATCCTCTTTCCATGATAGTCTGAGAACTTTATCATACTAGTGGAAAGTCAACTTGTGTGGCAGACGTAAAGTTTTCTCTCTTATTTACTAGTAATAATTCTCTTTCATTGCAGTTATATTTAGTCGAATAGATCCTGGAGGTAAATTAATTATGGGGTTCCGAAAGGCAACAAACTCTGATACACAGGTCAAACTTTGTGCGGACTTTCCTGAATCATTCTTGAAAATTTTCGAAATTATTGAGAATTTATCTCCAGCGAGCACTTACTCTTGGTCCTTTTCAGATTCCTAAAGGAGGCAAGGATCTACATGTAAACAATCTGTCTGAACATTGGGGTCTCCCTGATGGAAATGCTAGTCTGGGTAGAGATGAGAACCATGGACATGGGGAAAATGGGAATTCAGTGCAGCAACTTGTTGCGAACGGAGAGAAGAAGAGGACTAAAAACATTGGATCCAAAAGTAAAAGGTTACTGATGCATAGTGTAGATGCATTGGAGTTAAGACTCACATGGGAAGAAGCACAGGACTTGCTTCGTCCACCCCCAAGTGTCAGGCCTAGCATTGTGACTATTGAGGACCATGAATTTGAAGAATATGATGTATGGATCAATAATTTTTCCATATGCTAAATGATTCCTCGATGGCTTGTCAATGCAAATTATATTTACTATGTTTGTTTGAAGTTTGTGATCAATGATGTTTTCTTATTTAGGAGCCCCCCGTTTTTGGAAAGAAGACTATATTTGGTGCCCTTCCATCTGGGTAAGCATATTACTCTATATTTTCTCACTTGTTATTGGAAAATCTGACAGTTGACTAATTTATAATGTGGTTATAGTATTTGTCTCCTGAAAGAACTTGCAAGATTATGGTTAGGGATATACAAAATACTAAGAACTCAAAAACATTATTTGAACATGTTTTAATTGAATTCTTGAGTCTGATACCAGAGGTGTAAACTTTGGAGCTATTTCCTGATTCTGCACATTGACAACTTTTCAATGTAAAAAATCCTTCCTTTTGACGGTGGTCAAGCCTTTCAGTTTGGAAAACTTTGGTTTTGTACCAACACTCTGATTCGTCATTTGGTTATGTGGTCTCTCTTAAACAGTACTGTGACTTTCCAGTTTCTTTTCTTCTTCTTCTGTTTCTTTTTTTTTTACTTTAATTGGGAGCACCACCTGTTCATCGTTGATTTTAGTTTCATAGAAGCTGGAACAACTTTAAGATCTCGCATTGCTGCATATTTGGTAAAGGACTTCTTTGTCACCTATATTTGTTTAATGTTGAATGTTTTAAGGGCTGTCTGTAGGAGACAGGAGCAATGGGCCCAGTGCGATGATTGCTCCAAATGGCGAAGGTTACCCATTGATGTTCTCCTCCCACCAAAGTGGACATGTTCAGATAATGTTTGGGATTCAAGCAGGTTCTACATTTTGATGTGATAATTTTCTGAGATGAAAAGTTAGTTTTGGTTTCATGATCTGCTGATTCAGTAATGTGTTCGTAGGTCTGCATGTTTTTCACCAGAGGAGATTAGCCCAAAGGAACTGGAGAATATTCTCAAAGTGGGTACAGGTAGGGCACTGTCCTAGAAGAGGTTCTGTGGCTCATTATTTAGGATAGGTTTAGAAAGATAAAGCAGGTGTTCTTTCTATTATAAGATGGATCCTGAACTCTTGTTCTGTTATAAATGATCCTTTATTCATATTTTCTAATTCTGATTAGTTTTGCACACAATTGAGCTGGTAGACATGCATACCTTCTTGTTTTTGAAAAGTGGCATATGAATATCTTTGTTTGTCATGATACTTGGCCAAGCACAGACTGCTTTGTACTTTCTTTCTCCTGGTGAAAGATCCATGAATTTGACAGTGCTGCATTGTTTTCATCATTTGGTGTGAATATATGTGCCCACACACACCACATGTATGTGTCGACTTATGTGGTTGATTTCCTATTTGAATTCCATTATGCTTCTTAACTACCATATTCCCTTTATATCTTTTCCCAGATTTGAAGAAGGCAAAAGTTCTAGAAAGCCCTAAGCTAGCCCCAGAACCTGAGCCTTCAGGCTTGGATGCTCTGGCAAGCGCTGCAGTTCTAGGTGACAAAATGGGCGACGTGGAGGAGTCTTCAGTTGCAGCAGCTACAACAAAACACCCTAGACATCGCCCTGGCTGTACCTGCATTGTTTGCATTCAGCCTCCAAGTGGGAAGGGAAAGCACAAGTCAACATGCACTTGTAATGTATGCTTGACAGTAAAGCGCCGGTTTAAAACACTTATGCTGCGGAAGAAGAAACGCCAATCAGAACGTGAAGCAGAAATTTCCTGGAAGGATGATAAGAGGCAAATGGATAAAACAGAGGCGAAGGACACAAGAAATGATCATTCAGAAAACAAAGCAAGTCAAAGAGGGATTGAAGGTGAGGTAGCTGAGGCCATCACTGGACAAATAGACCTGAATTGTGATCCCAATCGTGAAGATGTACAACTTGAAGGAGAAGGATCAAATATGATGAGTCTTGTTGAAGCTGCCAGCATGCCAGTAGAAAATCACACCAAGCAAAATACGGTTTCAACCTTAAATAGTGAGCAACAACAACAAGAGGGTAGCCTTGTGTCCCATTTGCAGTCAAAAGCTAGTAAAGAGAATGAGATACTCCTCTCCGATGAAGAGTTTCTTGTATCGGTTGGATGGAAGTGTGCAGGACATGAGGAGCCAAACACGGAGAGAAATGGTCTTCAATGAAAATATCATCCACAGATTTTCCGATCTTTCTATTTTTCCCTTTACAGGTATAGTGGTTCTGTAGGTGTTAGCCTCGTATCTTCACAACAAACATAAACACTGCAGTAAACCTTGTTAAGCAAGTTACCTGCATACCAAGTAAATGGTGTTAGGTGGTTCCTCTCTCTCTGTCGCTTTCCACATTTGTTATGGCAGCCTCAGGTTGTCTAGTTATGTATACATACCGCTGGTGCTAGATGGTGGCTGTGTTTTGGTTTATCAACCAATTCAATTTATTCAAATGTGATCAGTTTGTTTAACAATGAAAATGTGTTCTTTTTTTTTAATTATTTCATTTTTCTTTTGGCGGAGGAAGGGGATGCATGCATTCAACTTTTTCAGTGCTTGTTGGCAATGATTATATCGATTAATATTTGCCAAGGGAGGGTGACATGCATTTTTCCATTAAACATTTGCCAAGTCCAATGATAAGGAGGGGAAGCTTTCATTGACAACAAGTCTTGCATTTGCTTAATTTTATCCTTACTTAAATCGCTTTGTTGTTTCTGTTCTGACGAATATATAAATGTAGTTGGTATTGTTGCCAATATTTAAAAGGTCCGGCCGAGCGTTTGTCTTATTTTTGGCCTGCTTGCAGATGGCTGATATATATGTACTATCCATCTCACAATATACATGAAACATAAAGGAACGATGACGAATTGTTCTTTTTCTTTCGACGACAGTGTTGCAATTTCTTATAAACTTTTTCCTCCCTAACAATTCAATTTATCTGATTTGTAATTTGTCCTCGGATTGTTATATAATTTTTAATTTAGCCAAGTAGATTTTATAACGTGAACATAAATTTTGTTTAACATAAAGTGAACAAACAATAATAATTTATTCAAAACCTCTAGAAACTCACTATTGAACAGCAGTAATGAACCAAACCCTTGGACCTTGGCTCACAGATAATGAGAATAGTTGAGCCAAACCCACTCAAGCTAGACTCATAGAAACCAAACCCATTGATAGAAACAGGATCCGTGAATTTGGATCACTGAAAAGGGATGAAGAAATGAATCCCCTTAAACCGAACGAAACAAGTATATCGCTTTCCTTGATTCCAACACCAAGTTAAATTAATTGGAATCAAATAGCATATGGCTTTGATAATGAGGACGAAGAGGCTCTAGGCCAAGGTATATAGTATATACATTACATCGTCAAGTCCGGCCTTGCAATATTTTGCATTTTTATTATATACGCCACGCGTCTCCATTTCCAATGAACCATTATAATAAAACGCGCTTTCCCCCTTTTTAAGGAACACGTCACTCCCCCCACAAATCTCTCTCTCTTTCTCTTGTTAGAGCTTGGAAGCCTTTAAGAATCATCAGAATGGGGGATAGGGCAAGACTGGCAAAGGCCAGAATGGAGCTTGAAGAACTATATCTGGGGATCCCGGATGACTCTGTTAATCTCACTTTCCAGGACCTTGCAGACATGCAGCAACAAGCAACAGACCCCTCTGACAACAACAACCAGAAATCTACTACCATGGACACCGTCCATGAAGACAAAGTATCATCTTTGACCAAACTTCCCAGCCTCGATTTCAACAGGGCCCTGCAAGAGACCAGCCATCATCACCAACAACGACGCCATAAACCCTATCTCGAAGAGAGTGGCGACGACTTCGGCTCACACATGGAAATGGACCACCACCACCACCATCGTCCACGTCATCATGATAGCCATGCATGGAAGGATCATCAACCAAGGCATGCCACTAGTCCCAGAGCTCATACGGGTCAGTTCAGGCATGGGATGGAGAGAAGCCTGGCCTACGATGATGTAAGCGTGGTAAGCATGGCTTCCAACTATCCGGAAAGAGGACAAAGGCGGCGGCCTGGGATTCCTCACTCCAACATATGCACCATCTGCAGTACTTATATCTACATCTTCCGCCATCGATGCCTGGTATCTTTTGCTGCTTTCAACTAACCAAATTCAAAAACATATTTGTGAGCAATTAAAGAAAACCACTAGTATACATGCAGGTTTGTGGAAGGGTATATTGTAGGCAATGTGTTTGTATAGGCATGGGAGAAATGACTGAAGGCAGAAAGTGCGTGCTGTGCCTTGGGAGAAGATTCAGCCCAAGGTACTTTTATATATATATATATACACGTGTGTGAAGATAACAATAATATGTTTTCACCCCATAATTTCGCTCCTAACATAAAGGTCCTTCTTTGTCTGTCCTTGAATGCGTTATGTTTGATGGATAGGTACATAAAAAGAGCAGGAAAGATGGGTTGCAGTTGGAGGTACCCGAGTGCGGTGAAGCAAGCAGAGCTGAAGTGGGCGGAGAAAGGGCCACGGAGAAGCGGGGAGCGAACAGATGGGCGGAGTTCCGTGAACATGATGTCGAGGGCAAGAAGCCCTCAAAGGAGTCCAACAAGTGTCACGACAACGATGGCCATGAGTAGCAGCACCCCATCTTTTGTGGCTAGCTCACCTGCATATTCCCCTTTTAGTCATCACCACCTCCCCTTGTAAATGTAATAGCTTGCAATATATTATTCTCTTCTCTATTCAATACTTTTTCAAAGATGAACTAATTGGCATTTAATTTTTATATTATTTCTTATTTCGTAATTCTTTTCAGTACAACCACTGGGGATCAGTAATAGTATATGAATAAAATTTCATCTTTCTTTTGTTTTGCCTTTTTGGTTAGATAATTAGTTTGAGGCAAAGGCATCGCATAAAAAGCAAAGCCATTAGCAGATGTTCACATCAGTTTTAAGCCAAAAACTTCACGTTAATCATTCAATAAACCCAGGTTCAACTTGTTTTGGACAAGTTGTTTGAACTGTCCAAGAAGCAGCCACAGAACACAAAGTGTTTCATATTTTGTTTGGTATCTTTCCGAGTTTTCTTTTTCCTTTGAGCTTTTGGTTGTTAGATGGTGTTCTTCATTCAGTCGTTGGATGATTGTGGTTTTCTTAGAAGTCGATACTTTCAGCAGTATTGATTGGTTGAGCCAATTTATTTGGTCTCTTAAAAGGATGAGGTGATGCTGTTCGTTGTATTTGGTTCGTGTTTCATTGTCCTTGGGTTTTCTGGTCTGTACTTGGTGTAGTTGTATGATTGTTGATGTTCGTTGAGTTATCCTGACTCCAAGTTTTGGAGGCTTTCGAAGATCTTTGTGTTGGGTTCTTCATGTTGCTATAGCGATATTGGCTCAATCTTTTTCTCCTTCTGGTTGTTCGTTATGGAGCTGCTGGTTTTGCAGACTGGAGTTTCGTTTGATCTATGTGTGGGCAGTGAAGATCCCTTGCATACAGGATTTAGGTTGAAGTCCGAGTGTTGAGTTCTGCTGAGGTCCTTGTCGCAGGAGTTTATGTGGCTAGCTATACTGCTGTCCTTCCACATGTGTGTCATTAAGGCTGGTTGTTTTTCGTTTGTAGCTTTTCGCTTTTCCTCAGCAGTGTAATTTCTTTGTAGCTCGGCTAGAATTATCCTGAGGGTCGGACTGGAGTGTTTTATTGTTTGTTGTAATTGTGGGTTCTGGATTCCTTTTTCTTCCACCCACGGCACACTCTTTTTCCTCCACCCCATGGTACACTCTTTTTCCTCCAATTGGTTTAGGAAGATTTTCTAATGAGATCCATGGAGTGGTGTACCTTGTGTCTTTTCAATACAAAGTATCCTTCTTTAAAAAAAAAAATGGTGTTCTTCAACTCAATATCCTAATCGTTGCTTACTAGAGTAGAAAATTGTTTGAGAGTAGGCAAAGTTCAACATCTTCAAATTAGCAAAACTATGAAGTTGTCGAGTGAAGAGATGAACTAAAATTTATCGTTTCAACTTGACTTAAGTACACATGAGAAGAGAAGGTTGGGCTTTGATATTTGGGCTCTACACCCAATTCTATATTAAATATAATTTAATTTAAGGTAAAACATATTAGTTAGATTTGCTTTTAAGCTCAAACTAATAGGTTATTATAAGGATGAAAAATGTTATTATATCAAACCTCGTCATAATTCATAAATATGTTTCAATTTTTTTAACAGGTGTGATTTGATTGTAACAAAATTCCAATTGAGTGACTATATTGTAACCTTTTAAAATTAGATGACCCGTTTGTAATCTAACTAATAATTGAATAACTTGAATGCATTTTACCCTTTAAATTATTATTGTCGTAATCGTCCTTCGTGTGGGTCCGAAATCTGGTTTCGACTTAAATACACGTGTTAGATCCACCACCGATCATTTAAAATTAGGTTGACCAAACACCTTAACTTTCCATTTACCTGATCTGCGTTTTACAATAAATTAATCGGATTTGAGAGTCGATTACTGTCAATGAAGGATTAGCATCCTTGTACTGCCCTTTCGGTACCAATTCGATCTTCCGGTTGTCTTAATTGCAAAAATTAAAAATTTGAAATTAAAATTTTAGTATTCAATCCGAATTACTTATCTTTGATCGATTAAAAATAGACCTAAAAAGGGATCATAGTTAGATAAGAAAAGATTAAATTTAAATAGAACTAAATTAAAGTGGTTAAATATTAAAATGAATTATATTGAAATAAATTGAAATTCAGGGGTCAAATTGATGTTTAAGTGAGCTGTAAGGGAAAAATAGAGAGTTAGGGGGTTAAATTGCAAAAATATAAAAGATAAATAGGGATTAAATTGAAATAATTCAAAATTCAAGGGTAAAATTACAACAGGTGACCAAAATGAATTACACATCAAAAGTTCAGGTACTGCAGAAATAATTTAAGAATCTCATAATTACACTACGGTCCTCTATAAATAGCCTATTTAACCTAAAAAATTCATTTCAAACCCATTTCAAAAAAAAACTTCCCTAGACAAACACCGCCAACAGCTGCTTCGGTCACCGCCTACAGTGTTTGAAAAATTCACACTTACCCCAAAAAGACCCCTCTCATCCCTATGAGTTTAGAATCGAGGCCCAAACAACCCCTAAATCATCCAACCGTCATAGATCTAGGATTTAAGCTTCAATGTTTACCTTTTCTATGGTGAAAACATTTCGTTTTATGGCAACCGTGGCCCCTCCGATGTTGTTCGACATTAGCCTTGGTTTTTAGCACTTTTCCTTGCTGCTTTGGATGCTACTTCATTTCTTGACTTGTTTTTGTTTTTGCTATATGCTACTGTGTTTCTTGTGGTTTCCTTTGTGCCAAATATTGCTTTGATTTCTCTAGTGGTCTTCGCAATTTTTGTTGTTGTTTTTCGATGGCTTGGTCGGAGGCTTTTATAGCCTTGAATGCGGCCGTTATGAGCCCGAAAGGGATGGGATTTCTGTTCGATTCCTTTGTTGGACATATGTATGAGTTTCGTTCGTGCGAGTTGTTGCCCATGTTTTCGATTTTCTAGCCGAGAATCTCGATTTGTTGGCGCGTGATCTCCACGCGCTGTTGAAACGGTAACCGAATGCATTTTGGCCTTTAGATCGAAGAGCCAAATCCAACGGCCTTGTTTGTGCGGCTCTGGTGCTAAACATGGAAACCTTAGACCCCACTGGGTCAGGCACGCGGGCTTGGGCCTTTCACCGGGCTTGCTTTGGTTGGGCTTCTCCTTGGACCAGATTGGACTATGGACTTGGACTCTTAATTTGGACTGAAATGAAAATAAAATAAAATAAAATAAAAAATAGATAAGAAAATGGAAAATAAAATACTAATACTAATAATATTTATGTATTTAAACTATATAATATATATTATATTTCAAAAAAATATAATATGTTTTCAAATATTATATATATTATATACGTTTTCAAAAATCATTTTAAAAAACTATGTATATATGTTTTCTAAAACTATATTATGTATGTTTTCAAAAAAACCGTTTTAAAAAACTATATATTATATGTTTTCGAAAATAATGTTTTCAAAAATTATACTATATATTTTCAATATATATATATATATATTATATTTGAAATTATTATATATATATATATTATCATATATACTATATAATGTAATAAAGACCCTTGAAGTCCAAACTAAAATGGGTGTCTACAGCTGCCCCTCTTTGCCCATTATTATGTAACAAAAATAGGGAAAAGACAAAAGACACAAATTTTCGTTCGGTACAATCGGATTTTGAAAGCAAGCATATTCCTGTGAGTGTCGTCGATCTCTGAATTTGAAATTCGACTCAATGTTGTAGTCGACTCTTTTTATCGAATATCCTCAGTCGCGGAGTTGAAATTTGACTTTAAAATAGAAGATGGCTCCCTGCTGTTGAGCTGGGTTATGGATAACTCATTTGTAGTGAAGTTGAGTCGATTTTGAAATGTTTTTGAGCAAGATATCTTTTTTCATGAAGTTGAGATCGTGATTGACTCCTTCGTCGTGAAGTCGAATCAAGGGTGTTTCGAGCATGATATCATTCACTGTGAAGTTTAAATCTAACTCGATGCCTGGGTTAGGTGGTAATACCGTGGTTGGTTTTGGGTTTTAGTCCAATATCATTCATCCTGAAGTTGAAATTTGACTAGATGACCTTAGTATGCCGTTGAGTTGAACTATGTTGTAGATGAATCCTTCGTTGTGAAGTTGAGTCAATTTCGAATGCCTTGGGCACGATGTCCTTCGTTGTGAAGTTGAAATCATAGGTGACTCCTTCGTTGTGAAGCTGAGTCAATCTTGGATGTTTCGAGTGTGGTATCATTCGTTGTGAGGTTGAAATCTAGATCAAAATCTAAATTGAAAAGTGGATTCTTGTTGCCAAAATGTAGTTAACCTTGGTATTCTTCTTGGCTTAAAGACCTCGGTTTAAAATTCAACCAAAAAGTAATTCCTCGTTGTTACCATGCGATTGATACGCCCTCGAGCTGAATAGAATTGAACTCAAAAGTTTTTGTTGACAGACATCTTTTCTCGACTTAAGCTATGTTGTAAATCAGGCTGGGAGATAGTTCTTTGTTGCTAAATCGCAGCCAACATATTTCTTCTTCTTGGCTTAAAGACCTCGATTTAAAATTCAATCGGAAAATAGTTCCTCGCTTCTACCATGCGATTGATTTGCCCTCGAGCTGAATGGAATTGAACTCAAAAGTTTTTGTTGATAGACAATTTTTCCCGACTCAAGCTATGTTGTAAATTAGGATGGGAGATAGTTGATTATTTCTAAATCCCATCCAACCTAGGTCTTCTTCTTGCCTTAAAGATCTCGGTTTAAAATTCAACTGGAAAATAGTTCCTCGCTGCTACCATACAGTTGATACACCCTCGAGTTGAATGGAATCGAACTCGAAAGTTTTCGTTGACAGATAACCTTTCTTCCTTGAGCTATGATGTGAACGGTTCCTCTAAGTGAAGGATGACACCCCTTCGCAGGTCTAAGCCCGTCATAATTCTTTAGATGACTCCCCTTCAAGTGAAAGTCAGGTGAGACCCTTCACGGTTTAATTCAATCTTGATTCTTCGGATGACTCTACTTCACGGGAAAGTCAAGTGGTATATTCTTTAAGTGGTTCCCCTTCTAAGGTTTGAACCAGGTGAGATGATCTTTGGATGACTCCCCTTCACGGGAAAACCATGTAAGATGTTCTTTG